CTGGCCGGCCAAGAGGAGCCCATCCCGCAGCAGCTGCCCCGGAGCAGCTTCCTTAAGGCCTTCACTGTTTGATTTCTTAACCACGGGCCTGGATTACTTTGATTAAGATATGAAGTTTGATTAAGGGAAAAGCGGATGAAACCCCGGACAGTCAGTGCCAGGCGCCAGGCAGAAGAGGGCAGGAGGAGAGCAGAAGGGTCCTGGGCAAGGGAGGCAAGCTCCGAGCTGTGCGGTGTGGAGAGGGAGCAGGAGCCCTGGCCACCGCCTGTCCAGCTGAAAGACAAACTGTGCAGTGTTGGGTTCCCATGTGGGGACGCTCAGGGACGCCGTCCTGCCCCTCTCCCCCTGCCCAGGCATCAGGTGCTTTGGGGAGGGGAGGAGGCACCTGGTCTTGAGGTCTCCTGGTGCCAGGCTCGGCCATGCATGCTGTGCCTTGGACAGTGCAGGTGCCATCTGCCTTCCGGACAGCGGCACTGTGGCAAAGCCGATGAGGCTTTTTGTGCCAGCTCTTGTGCAGATGCAGGAAGAGCTCTGGCATAGACCTATGGCCAGGAGAGACAGGCCTGCAGCGTGGTGAGAACTGAGTTTTCCTCCAGACTCATCCCTACCTTTGTAGGGATCTAGGACCTCCGCCTCTCTCCACATCACTCTGTCTGCCTAAGAGGCATTAGCTTTTGTCATTTTATACATTTTTTTTTTTTTTTTGGTGGTATCAGGGGCCTTTCCATCCCCAGCCATTTTAAAATTTTTTATTTGGAGACAAGGCCTGGCTAAATGGCTAAATTGTGTGGGGTGGGCTTGGACTTCAGATCCTCGCACCTCAGCCTCCTAGGGTACTAGAATTGCAGGTGTGTGCCACCACACCACCCCATTTTATACTTCAGACCGGGTGTGTGAGCACCTGTGACACAGGGAACAAGTCCAGATGGTGGCAGCACTGGCTTCCCCAGGCTGCCTCTCCTTCCTTCCCTTGGGGCTACAACCCTGCAGTGTCAGAGTCCATCTGGACCCTCTGCATGCCTCGCCCTCTCCAGCAGAGTCCTGAGGAGTTTGGCTGGCACCATCGTCCACAGTCCTTGGGCTCTGTGGGGCAAGCAATGTGTCCCCTTAGAGTCTGGGGCAAAGAAACAGGGCATTCAGTCTGAGCTGTGGTTCCAACACTCACACGCTGGAAGCCTGGTGCTCAGCGCAGTGATGGTTCCTTTAAAAGGTGGAGCCTAAGGAGGACAGTTAGATCACTGATCTCAGAGGGCAGCAGTGCTGGTCTCCCAGGCAGGGTTGGTCTCCTGGCAGTGGGCTGTTACAGAGGAATGAGCTTTTCTTCTCCCTCACCTCCTGCTTCCTGGCTTGCACCACGCTCCTTCTTGGTGAGCTTCCCTTTGTGTTTCTCTGCCATGTGTAATGCAGCCTTGAGGGTCCTTGCCAGAGCCAGTGCCACGCTGTGTGGACTGTCCAGTGGCCAGAATGGTGAGCCGAGCCACATCTCTTCTTTATGCATACGCCATGTCAGGTGTGTTACTGTGGCAGCCAAAATGAACTCAGGATGCTTCAGGGGCCCTCAGGGTGGAGAGAGAGGCCCAGGAGGAAGGCGTGTACAAGTCAGGTAGCACTGGGCACAGCGGTCCAGGCTTCGAATTTCAGCTACTTTGGGCGGCTGAGGCAGGTTCAAAGGCAGTTGGAGCAACTTAGCAAGGCTCTGTCTCGGAGCAAAAAATGAACAGGGCTGAAGGTGTAGCTCAGTGGGAAATGCCTGGGTTTTATCACCAGCTCACCAAGAAAGAAAAAAACAAAAACAAGTAGAGAGAAGGCCTCCGTTCACTCACCCTGCTGTTCCTTAGAAAATACTGCCACTGACTCCTGCCACCAGTCCTGGAGTGCACGTTACGTACTTGGTTCTTACTGGCTCCATTTTACAAAAGAGAAAGAGTCTGGACATCAAGACTACACCTCCTGCCCAGCTAATAAACACAGAGGTGAAATTTCCCTTTCAAATCCTGTTCCAGTCCTTGTCATCTAAACTGTGCTTCTCTAATTCTAGACCCAAGTTCGTTTTTAGCAATTTCTGACAAGAATGGGTTACAGTTCTGGATATGAGAACTCCGTATTTTCAGTGTTATCAAAAAGATAGGTGAGAAATAAATTCACAGACGTTAGCAGTTGCTACAGAGGAAATTCAGAACTGGGACAGGATCATGAGAATTCCATTCTCGTGTGACAAGTTTTCTTTCTTTTTTGCCAATTATAGATAATTAAATAATTTCTTGATGTGTGGTGCTGGGGATCAAACCCAGGGCTTTGCTCACACTTAGGCAAGTGCTCAATGCCTGAGCCACACCCCTAGGAAGAACTATAATACGTGTCATTAATAGGAATAAATGCATATTTTTTTATATCTCACATGATTATAGTACTAAATCCTGACCATGCTTTGGCATCGGATCGCGCTGGGTCTTGTCCCAACTAAATTAAGTGCAAAAAGGAACAGAACAAAGACACTTAGGGCTCTACCACCTGTTTTATCTTTGGACAGCTGCTCACTTAGTTCTCCGTTAACCTGGGCACCGCTGTTGGGGTGCTGCCAGCTAAAGACCCATGGAAAAATGTTTCGTGACGAAGGGTTTTCACCCAGGTTTCCTGGTGTCTTTGGCAAAGCTGGGAGGGTGTGACCCTCCAAGGGCTCAGGGGACAACAGCTCTGGGTGCGTGTGTGCAGGAGAAGGGCTACGCGAGTTTCAGGTACAGCCAAGTCTGCTTTCACTCTGGACCCATGGAAGGTTGTGTCCCAACGAAAATGTTCCACAGCTACGAGGAATCTAAAAGTCACTGCACATAGGTTCCCCTTATCCACAGTTTCACTTTGCTCTTTCAGTTACTCCTGGTCAGCCAAGGACTAAGAATGCTAAATGGAAAATCCCAAAATAAACATTTATAACTCATAGTAGTGTAACTTTGAGTAGTGTAATGAAATCTTGTACCACCCTACTCTGTGCTACTTGGGCACGAGTCATCCCTTTTTTGTGTTTCCACACTGTATATGTTATATCCCTATTAGTCACTTAGCAACTGTTTCGGTTACTAGATCAACTATCACAATATTGCAGCATTTGTGTTCAAAGAACCCTTATTTTATTTAATCATGGCCTGGAGCACAAGGGCAGCAATGGTGGCAATTTTATTACAGCATATTGTTATAATTGTTCAAATTTGGGGGGAGGTTATGAGACAGTTTCACTATGTACTTCAGGCTGATCTTGAACTTGCTATGTAGCCCAGGCTGGCTTTGAACTTACAGCCTCCTGCCTCAGCCTCCTGAGTGCTAATATTACAGGCATATGCCACCATGCCTGGCATAATTGTTCTATTTTATTACTTTATTCAGTTTTATTACTAGTTATGGTGCCTGATGTATATATTTAATCTCCAGGATGTATGGATAGGAAAAACAGTGTCTACAGAGCCTGGTGCCTGCTGCATTTCAGGCCTCCACTGGGGGTCTGGAAGAAGCTGTTCCCAGAAATGAGTAACAGAATGATCCCTCCAATCCTAAGGCAAGGGTGGCACCCTTAACCGACACCCAGCGAGGCCAATGAGGGTCAGTCATGACACAAAGGTGGTGGAGATGGAGAAGTGGAGAGGTGGCTGCTGCCCCAGCCACGTCCCCTACATGATTATGGGCCCTGCTGACACCACCGAGGGACTGTGCTGTCAGACCTGCTCAGGCTTGTGCCGAAGTACAAAGTGCAGGATGGCGGGAAGCTGGCGGGCCAGGAACAGCTGCCAAAAATATTAATTTTCACTTTAAGGATCAACCTCCTGTTCTTCTTCATCAAGGATATCCTCTCAGAGTCTCTGTATTGACTGAACAATTAGAACTGTGTATGCATAGGAAAGTCGTCAGGTAACACGGTGCCTGTAGTTGCCATGGAGCATTAATTGTGCAAAACACGGGACACTTGTACCTTATCTCAAACTCTAGATTTTTTTTTTTTTATTGGTACCAAGGATCAAACTTATGGCTGTGCACTTGCAAGGCAGGTGCTTATGCCACTGAGCTAAATCCCCAGTCCTTCAAACTCTAGATTTTTGAAAATCAGGGTCTGGGGCTGGGGATTTAGCTCAGCGGCATAAGCACCTGCCTTGCAAGTGTGCAGTTATGAGTTCAATCCCTGGTACCGATAAAAACGAAAAAGACAAAAAAATTAAAAAAAAAAAAAAAGAAAGAAAGAAAACCAGGGTCTGGTGTCATTTCTCTTTCTACCCTGCCTGAAAGCACCTCACTTAGAACTTTGCTTACAGAGTTAAGTACTTGATGGGCCCCATCTTGTTATCTGGAAAGGGATCCACTGCCCATCAAAAAACACGCATAGATTTTAATTGTTCTCAATTCAAGTGGGTTTTAATACAGTTTCCTGTCCTGTCTTTTCTGGGTGGGACAACCAATTAAAACCCCAAACAGGTGGCCCAGAAAGGTAGTTTTTTTTTTTTTTGGCATGAAGAGAAACATAAGAATACACAAATTCAACTATACCAACTTCCCTTTGTCCTGATTATAGGATGCTCGTGGAAGAGAAATCACACAATTCTGCGGCAGACAGGCTGGCATGGTCCAGTGTGCTCTCAGGGTGTACTGACACTGGCCTACCCCGGCTTCCCCAGGAATCCTCAGGCAGCTAGGAAGCTGTCTGGTGGCTGCTGTGTCACCCTTCGGGCTTTTTACTTCCAGCCCACTCTTACTCCCTAACAACGCTCACTGGCTGAGAACAGGTCTGCAACGAAAGCTGATGTTACAAGCACAAGGATGAGGACAGACGGCAAGTCTGCTGGACTCCACGATGTGGCAGGCACTAGGCCTCGTCCCTCACGCCCACGACCTCTTTTAAACTTCACAAGCGCCATGCGTCGTGGCACTCTTAGGCTTCCCACTTAATGCATGAGCAAACCACACACTCCACACCCAGCAAGATAAAGTCTCAGGGTTTCTGTTAGCAACGCAGGGCTTACCTGGGTATAACAGAGTTAGGCAGCCTGGGTTTTGCAGGGGATGTGACTTTCGGTTCTGGACCCGAGCTCCCTGAAGATCCTGGCAGTGAGTCCTGCACGGGCCCGGGTTGGCTTGGAAATATTTCCCTTGTGGAAGTCAGGAGATGCTCTTTGACTTCTTTTTCTCTGGACTTGGCTTTGTGTTCTGCCAGGAGGAGGTCAAATTGCTTTCTCCGGCCTGGGACTGCCCTCCGATGGCTTAGCGAGTGTGTCTAAGGAGAAGACAGATGAGAAGCACAGCCTCTTTGATCAGCACATAAACCTGCTTCCCCAGCCCTGCATTTCAGAAATAGCAACCATAGGAATTTAGAGGTGCTTGAAAAGTCAACTTCAAGGCAACAGCTCCTGTTCTGTGGCTGGGAAGAGGCAGAGACCACATGAATGCAACCAGGCCCTAGGATCCTGCTGTGAAGAAGCCAAGCTTCCTCCAAAAAAAAAAAAAAAAAAAAAAAAAAAAAAAAAAAAAATCACCTGAGGTGCCTGAGCTTCAGCGCAAACCCACAAAAACCTCTTTGGTGAGAGTCCAGGAGGGAACACGAGGGTTAATCCAGGTGCAGATGAGAGGAGGAGGCGTTGGCCCAGACAGACAGAACCACCAGGCAGAGAGGGCCACGGCCTCAGTCCCCAGGAACACCAGCAGCTCGGGAGGAAATGGGCTCTGGGCTAAGGGGTGCACAGCCACTGTGGCCCGGGTCCCCCAGGCCACCCGCGTGTGGGCTGGATCAGGGGCGTGGCATCGCATCTTCCCCTCCAGGGCTGCCTTTCAGGGCGCTGCCACCGCCACCACCGCCGCTCCTGCATACATTAAAACGTAGCAGGCTGCAGAACCGCCTGTGAGTGCCTATAAATACAATTTACTGTCTGGCCTCCCAAGTAACAGGGGAAGCCTAGGGTTTTTTTTTCCCTCCTTAAAAAGCCAGCCAGCTTGAGGCAGGCACTCTGCTACCATGGACCAGAAGAAAGCATTTCCCTTACAAAGAACAGCTGGAGGTCATGTCGAGGTTCCACACCCTGCCGTGTGCAGAGAGTGGCATGCAAACACCTTGACAAAGGCCCCAGCGAGAGCAGGAAGTATTTTTTATGGAAAGAGAAATACCTTGCAGGTGAGGGATCTTGTGCAAGGTTTCTTTGTCTCGGGATCCAACACTCCACAGTGTTTATTTGGGTCAAATTCTCTCTCTGGTTTAAGAAACAAACAAAAAATATAAGAAAAAAGGAGACTAAGTAGGATTTGGCATTAAGACTACATTTAAAAAAAAATGCACATTTGCACCAACAAGTGAGACATTGTCAGGCAATCTTTTCTTTTTCAACCAGCTGCTAAACTGCTTTAAGAACTGCTCAGGGGAAAATAGTGGTCCCGCTTGAACCCAGAGTTTGTAAGTCCAGCACCAGGTTCGGTGTTAGGGTGGGAGCAGGTACCAGAAGGAACGGTGCTGTGCTGCTGGTGACATTCTGGCTCAGTTGAAATGGGCCCCCTGCACCTCAGTACTTTGGGCACAGTGGCTGCAGGGACAGCCATCTGAAACTAAGGGTTCCTTTTTCCCAGCTGTTTCAAGAGGCCCCCTGATTAGAATGGCCACTTCAGTGACAAATTTCTCCTTGACATGACAGTGTGACCTCCCTCTCAGGTTTAACAGCCGTTGGAGAGCTTCTCAGACCTGGCTAAGGAACATGCCAGTGCCGTCCCAGGCAGGGCCAGGGAAAGTCTGCTGTGCTCTGCCCAGGCCTGACCGTGAAACACAGTGCTCCCAGGAATGAGCCACTGTCCCTGCGGATGCAGGTGGCTGGGTGGTGAATCTGGGCTTCACCAGATCCTGCCCTCCTGTTGATGGCCTGCATGGAGATCACTTCTAAAATACCTGTTCTTTTTATGTCCAATACGGCTCCTTTTCCCCTCTGAGATGAGCAAAAACCCCTCACCAGCCTGGAAAATCTGAGGATACCAGGCAGTCTTTCAAGGCCCATTAGGGTGGCTTTATTGTTCCCACAGAGCAGGGATGTCACAGCATGGCAGGGGCTCCTGGCGGGAGGGGTTATAGAGGCTCGGTGTCCTGGGGGCTCAGCAGCTGCAAACTCAAGGTAGGCCATGTAGGCGCAAACTGCCTGCAAGTAAGCTGAGTGCAAGTGTCCTGGGGTGGGCAACAGGCAGGACAATGTCCACTGGAAGCAGTCCTTACACCCAAGGCTATCAAAATGCCGCCCTCTTTTCTGTTTTCGCCTTTTTTTTTTTTTTTTTTTTTTTTTTTTTGAGAAAGGCAAGCTGCTGTTTCGTTGGACGCCTGTGCCCAGCAGGCGGTGAGTACCTGGGTCTGGGTTCCCCGCTAGCCCCCACATGCATTTTGTGTTGGCTTGGAGCACAGCGGGTTACTGGCTGGGGGCAGGAGCTGGTTGCCAAATGAGACAGCAAGGAAGAAACAAGCAGAAGACCCACCAAGACAAGACAACCAACAGAATGCAAGGAGCGACCACCCGCCCCAACCCCAGACAGTTTTAGACTGGGGCTCAGGCTGGAGCTAGGGCCGGGCTTCTGCTGCGATGAGGAAGCCGCAGCCTCTGGACACTGGGTCCAGGCCTATTGTTTTTTCCCCTTCAGGGATGGTACCACCCACGTCTGCAGAGTGAGACTGCACTTTCCTCTTGGGAAGACAGCCAGGAGTTGGGGCCCTGCCCACAATGCTCAGAGAAGGTGAGGGGTACAGAGGAGGGATGTCCAGGGCACAGCACCCGTCTCATGTCAATGCTTTGGCCCCGAGCTACTTTCAAGACATCATTTTTTCAAGGGTTACAGGTATAAGCTAGGAAAACCAGAAACATAGATGAACATGAAATAGAAACTAACAATTACTCATACTTCCTTGGTTGCTTAAAAAACATGCTCACAAAAACAAAAACAAAAACAACAGAAAAAGCAATGCTCATGGCGGAAGACAGCTTCTCTCTCAGGGGGTGGCTTTCGCTGTATTTTGATTTTTCCGGCTACCATTAGCTACGCCTACAGCATGTGTGGAGAAGCTGGGAAGTCCATAGCTCTTTCTGCTCACATGAAGGAAGCAGCTGCCAGGTTTAGTTCTAAAATGGATCCAATGCAAACATCACCCACTTGGGGCCTCTAGCAGGGCCGCTGTCACCTCCAAGAGTAGCCAGGAGTGTTCAGACAGCTAGTGCGGGCCCGGGAGAGACCTCCAGACTCCCCACCTGCTGCACTGACCTGTGCCTTCCCAGTTGGAAATTCCAGCTTTATCACAAGGAACTGGCAGTTGTATCCCAACTGCAAAAGCTACTTAGAAACCCAAAGGACAAGGAATGGGGGTTGTGTCTCCCTTCTGTGTGGCATGTGGCTGATGGGGCTGTCCCAGTGTCCCGAGCCACCATGAGCCAGCACTGTGGCCTGCCCACCTTCTCAGCAGTGATGAATCCATGGGAGCCAGGGGACAGTCACCTGTCAGCGGATGCCCTTCTCCCCTGTGCTTGTGGGCGAAGGTCCTGCTTGCAGGTAAACGCTACATCCCTCTTAAAGCCAAACAGAGCTAGTTCATTCTAAGAACATGCCACTCCTTGGTTACAGATTGGAGTTACAACTTTACTCTTAGCATCAGCCAGACTCCCATGACACCGACACATACCTGAAAGTCTCCGGTAAGGCTTGTTGCTGTTTTTGGTGCCATTCTGGTGCTTCTTGTCTATGGTGGCTGATAGAATTCCTTTGCCATTTAAGATCTTCTCGGGTGAAGGTGGCACTGACTTGGACATCAAGACAGGCTTAATTAAAGGTGTGGTGGAGCTGGCGGAGGCCATGGATGAGGCGGAGGAGGAAGAATTGGAGGAGGAGGAGGTGAGCGCAGTAGTGGTTGCAGAGTTCATTTTGACATTGGCGCCGTCTGCCTTCACTAGGTTAGGGATTTTCTCTAAACTGACTACAGGAACAGGAACGCTGAAAAATAAATGAACAAACACACACAATTGCCTTCTTTGATACATCTGGTCTGCTGAGAAGCTATGCCCGCTTATCATTACTAGAACACTTCCTTATCACTTATTTATGCCCTCCCTATAAGTGAGTAGCATGATTCTGATTTTGATGGGAGAGATTTGTGCTGTGGAAAGGACCAACAGGGGGTGTGAGGCTGGCGTGGTACCTGGAACGGCATCAGAGTGGACAGAGAGTCTCCCGTGCGCAAGGCCGTCCCCCTGGATATGTGATCCCCCCCAGGCCTTCTGTGTGGGCTGCCTCTGAGCCAGCACTTTGGGCAGAACAAGGCTCCCGCCGTGAAGCCCCCTGGAAGAGACACTGTCTGTCCTTGACTGATAGCGTGCCCCTGCCCCCTGCTCTTGAGTCCCCAGAGGGCTGACAGATGACATCACACGCAGGCATGGCTTCGGGCCAGTGCAGTGCACTTTGTGCTGTCGGAGGGCTTCTGGGCTGCACTCAGATCCTGGGGACAGGGCTCCCACGGAGGGAGCCGCCATGCACCATTATCCCACATTCCATTTTAGGCAGCTAGTTATGTAAATAGGCAATTCTCCAGGCTGGCAGGTGAGGGGATGAATTTTAAGAAGGCAGAAGCACAAAGGTGTGCATTCACTCGTCAGCATCTGTCACCTTCGCCCCACTTCCCCACTAGTCTGTGATGGATGTGCATTTGATTTCTGCGGCTCTTTAATGCTGGGGGACCTTGTGTCTGGGGGTACTCTGTCTCAGGGTTCTTAAAAGATGAGATGAATCAGTTCTGCTTTGGTCCCTGAACCAGATTCCCTTTCCTCCTAGCAGGAGGGTAGAATGCTAACACTTCAGCTCCCCAATCATCTTCGAGCTGAGAGGGAAGCCGATTTAGGTATTTGAATGCCAGATGATGGAGAATATAGATTTTACATGCCTGCAGACAATGAAAGGGCATGAAAAGAGACGCTGTTTGGGGCAGGGGGAGAATCCATCTGTCCACAGGGCTGGGTAGCTCTCCTTTTCTAAGATGTGCTCACAGATCATTTCTTTGATCAACTTGCTCATGAAATTATTTTAGCAGCTCCTCAGCCTCTGCCCCTCTTCTGACTTTGAAACATGATTACGGGTATAACTTGCAGATTTTTGCCAGTGAGAAGGGCCCAAAGTAGAGGGACAGACCGTGGCTGTATATGACAGTCCTTCCCTATGGGCTGAGTCCCTTCTTGGCCTGAGGAAGGGGTCCTGTGATAGGAAATGGGATGGTAGTTTTTAGCAATCCACAAGGTCATTGCAAGTTCTGCCCTTGATCAGTCACGAAGGCAGAGCTGACCTGTCACTACTGTTTATTTTGTGGTCATTCTCTAAGCAGGGCTTGTTAAAAGTCACCACCGGAAGCTCTTGAAGAGCAAGCATGCGTAGAAGTTTGCAATGCTCCCTGATGCAATCAGTGCTTGCGATGGTGGAATGATGCTTGACTGTGCTCCCTTGAGTGTGTCCGGAAGTTCCTATCTTGCAAACTTAATTTCCCAGTTCATATGTTGTTGGTATTTGGAGACAGGTTCTTAGAGAGGTATTTAGGGTTAGATGAGCCCACAAGGGAGAAGCCCCCAAGATGGGATTTGTATCAAGAGGAAGAGAGATCTGAGCTTGTACCTTTCCTGTCCACACTGTGCCATGTGACACAGTAAGAAGCCTTTACCAGGTGCTGGCACCCGATCCTGGACTTTCCAGCCTCCAGACTGTGGAAAATAAATTTCCTTTATTTATAAATCACCCAGATTGTGGTATTCTGGGATAGCAGCAGAAAACAGACAAACACAGTGCTGCATTCTGATTTTTTTCCCCAAATGATAAAGGACGCAAGGATGGACTAGGATTCATTCCTTAACTCAATTTTTTAAAGTGCAAGTTACAGAGATTAGAGTCTTCAAGAGATACTTGCACAGCTAATAGTTGACACTGTTCACAGCAGCATTATTTGCAGTAGCCAGAGTGTTGAGGCAACCCAAATGTCCATCATCAGGATAAATAGACAAAATGGGATACAACTGAGAAGGAAGGAAACTGACAGATGGGTGAAAAGTGGAGGACAGTGCACTAAGTGAAACACGCCAGTGAGGAAAAACAAAAACATAAGCCAAGAAAGATCTGATTCCATTAATACGAGTGTGAGGTGCTGAGAAGTCAAATTCATAGAGACAGAAAGTGGGACAGTGGTGGCCAAGGTGGAAGGGAAGGGAAATGGACACAAAGTCTCAGTTTTGCAAGATGAAAAGAATTTCGGAGACTAGCCAGGAGTGGTAGTGCATGCTTGTAATTCCAGCAGTCGGGAGGCTGAGACAGGAGGATCATTGTGAGTTTGAGACCAGCCTGGGCAACAAAGTGAGCTCAAGGCCAGCCCGAACTGCATAGTGAGACCCTGTCTCAAAAAGACAAAAAAAATTTGGAGACTGGTTGCACAACAATGCGGATGTACTTAACACTGAGTTGTGTATTAAAAATGGTTGTGTGGGGCCAGGGATACAGTTTGGTGGCAAAACACCTGCCTTGAGTTTGATTTAATAGTGTACTAACTAAAAGCCCCACAAGCTACAAAACTCAGACCACCTAAAGTATACCTTGGTGACTCTGACTTAAAACAATGTATATTTACATATGTCTATTTAAAATCCCTCTCCAAAAGCCTTTGTTGATTTAATTTTTCACCCTCGTTCTAATCTGTGGATCTTAATCTCTTTTTAAGAAAAAAAAAAAAAAACAGTCCAGCTTCAAGTGTGGGTGTGAACATGTGGGTACTCGCCAGGTGAGAAGCCTTCTCTGGAAGGAAAGTTTCAGGCTTGGCTCTCGTGGCTAAGAGGGACAAGAACACACAAGTCTGTGGAATGTGTCCTGAGCGTATGCTGGGTCCCCGTGACCTCAGCAGTTGGGGAAGGATGTCTGCCTGGGACAGTGACCAGGGTGCTGTATAAATTGCTCTTTATATGCTCGTAGTACAGCCTGTTTGTCCTCCTGAGTCAGCGTCCAGCTCCAAACATCTCGCCAGGCTGCCACACGAGCACAGGTGCTTGAGGCCTGGATGTCTGGATCAGCTGACCCATCCCTTGGGAGACACTTTTCCCTATCTGTACGTGGCAGGGCTCCGGCCAGGCAAGCTTAGCTCTGTGACTGATCTACTGATTTGTGATTCTGTCCACTACATAATGAGCATGGCCCATTCCATTTTCTATACTGCCAAGGCTCCTAGAGCTCCAGGCCCACAGGCAGGCTGTAGGATCAGGGAAGGCCAGCTGGGGTGCGGTCCTATGGGACTGAAGACCCGGAATTGGCCGGGAAATATGGGCTCAAGACTGTGCCTAAGGGTGCTGGAGACCTTAGAAGCAAAGTGTCGAGGAGCCAGGTGGATAGAAACTGCTCCTGATGCCAGGTCAGCAGCTGTGCCTTGGCGGGGAGAAGAGGGCAGAGCCTGAGTGCTTTGGGGTAGGAACTCCACGGGGGTTGGTCACCCACTGGAGAAACGGAGTCCACTGTCCCAGTAGGGGAGGTACTGTCCCCCGACACTGCTTTGCGGGTGCGCCTTTTCACCCCTAATGCTCTGGGTCTCCTCTGGGGCAACCAGGCCCATGGCCTGGACTCAGAAGTGGAGGGAAGAGATAAGAGGCAGCTCCAAGCTAGTGGGGAAAATCAAACATTCCTAGAGGAAACAGGGACCATCCCCCAGATCAGTTCCAGCCCGGTAAGCATCATCTGTCCAGTCTCCTTCCTTCACACCACGGGCTGCAGCCCGAGACTGCAGGCTGATGAACACAGGAGGAAATGACCACCAAGTGCTGCCATGCGATGCGGAAATCCAGTCTCAGAGACTGGCGTCTTCTGAGGACAGGGATTGGGCGATGTAAGGACCATGGCCCACCTCACTCATCCCCTCCATCCCCTGCCACCACCTTCCCCAGTCAGGAAAGGGCCTGGCCCGAGGCAGGTCAAGGCAGTGGACCCTGAATGACAGGCTAGTTTGTTCCCTTTGGAAAGAAACCAGCACTTCTGCCTGCGGCTTTCCTGCATCCCACTGTGACTTGGTCTGCCAGGGGGCCAGAGGGGGCTTTGCTGGTGATACTCAAGAGTGACTAAGCGCTGTTATTCTGTTTGTGGAGGTGCTAAGTGAGCCTGGCAATTACTTGCAAGGATAGCACGGCTCCCCCTGCTTGGTCCCCATCAGACTTAAGGGATACCTGTAAGCACTTCTCCAAGCCTTACAATTTGCTGCCTTTATCAGCTTACTATGTCCTTTCTTTGAGGTGCAGTGTTTAAAAAGGGAAGGGAAGGTGAGCTGGGCATGGTGGCACACAGCTGTAATCCCAGCACTCAGGAGGCTGAGACAGGAGGATCAGAGTTCAAGGCCAACCTGGACTACACAGGGAGACTGTCTCAAGATTAAAAAAAAAAAAAAAAAAGGAAGGAGAGCAGACAAAGGGGAAGAGGAGCCCCCACTCTGCCCCTGCTGCTCGCTTGGCTGGCAGGGACTCTTTGGGGAGCCCAGGGCTGCGGCTTGGCCCCGGGGCTCATGCGTTGGGAGTACTTATCTCTCCGCCTCTCTCTGGTCCCGGAAGGGTCCTCCCTCCTCACCATCTCCATCACCCTCTGGCACCAGGGGGCGGTGTCTACCTGCTGTTTCTTTTGTGCTGCTTTGGCTGCCCAAGTCTTCTTCCTGTGTGCCTGGCCTGTCTGAATTTATCTTTCTAGACCAAGGCAGATCCTCTGGCTGTAAGAAAAATGGTTCTCTTGGCATCAAGCAGATTCTCCTCCCTGCCCAGTGATGTCTGCAAAAGAGCAGAGGTGGAGAATCATGACGGTGTCATTGCGAGAGCCACCAACGTGCTGCAGGGCCAGCTGCCCTCGTGCCAGCTACGCTTTCCTGGGGATTGTGATTTACTCCGCCATCATCCACAGATACGCCTTACAAGCACGGATCAGAAAGTCTCTAGGTTTGCAGAAATGACTGCCAGCCTTCCTCACTTACCAGAGCTGGGTAAAGATGGATTTGACAGGCAGGATGTGAGGACATATGGCATCTGTGCTGTGGGGATGCGTCTGCTGAGACTTCTTGGCTGTCTCGCGGCTTCCTTCCACAAAGGCCCCTGTGCCTGTGCTCCTGGCCTGGCCTCTCACCCAGCCTCTTGCCTTCTACACGGTGACAGCATGAGATCACCCCCAAATTAAAAGGAACTTATCTTCCTTTAAACGCTCTTGGAGAAGCAATTCAATTTCGGTTTCTTAGATACATTTTTGAGGGGCTGCGCTTAGGAAATTATTTATGTCTCATCTAAATTCTTTAAGTTGAAGAAGTACTTGGAACCTTCTGGAAGACTGGTTGCCAGGCAATTGCTAAGAATCAGTGACAACAACAGTCCCAGAGTTCCACCCTGGGATGATAGATATAGTGGGCACCACAGAAATCCTGATGGATGAGAAATGTTTTTTTTTTTTTTCTTCCTATCTGTGAAAATACTGTGAAAATTTTCAGAAAGACAGTTTGTAAACATCTTTAGCAAACAAAAAAATGGATATAAATAAGAGAATCTACCAGGCTGGTCTAGTATCAGTCTAGGGCTGAGCATCAGGCCTGGTGGTGACGAGGGGCAGCGTACAATCGCTCGGCACCTTTGTGCAGCTTTGGTTTCGGTCTGTGCAACACATCCTCAGTAAACTGGGGAGACTCAGACTGCACAGTTCCTCGGGCTCAGTGGTCCTGGCACAGGAGCCGAAATAAGAGAAATAAAGCAAGAAAGAAAGAAGAAAGAGAAAGGAAGAAAGAAAGATTGGTTGGCATGGTCTTTTAGTCCAACCCAGAGAGGACCAGGGGCAGCTCAGCAGGTGCCAGCTGCTGGCCAAGAGGGCCACCGTCTCTTCACAGTGACAGCCTGGGCTCATTGCTCAGCTGGGGACACAGGTGATTAACTCAGAGAATGATGGGAGGTTTCCCCTAGAGACAAATTAGGGCTGTGTGTGTGCGCGCGTGTGCACGCACGCCTGTGTGTATAGATGAACAAGGTGATGAATGGTAGAAGTTGTCTGTTAAGAGTTTAAAAATGGAGACTGGCATATTGAGGACTTGACTCCCCAGGGCAGTGCTGTTCACAGATGGCACCTGGTGGGACCACGTGGCACTTGTCTCATGGCAGGTTAACCCATGTATTGCTGCTCACCTGAATGAGTCGTTAGGAGTTGGGGTCCAGTTGGCTAAACAGGGTACACCTTTGGCAGGAGTATCTGTGGCTGGGCCCTCCCCTCCCCCTCAGGCTCTTCCTTGATCTCTCTGCTTCCTGACAGCCAGGATGGGGGCAGCCGTGTCCCTTCCACCCTCCCACCACAGCAAGGGGGCCGGCCAACCACGGACTGAGGCCTCTGAAACCACAAACCCCAATAGATCTGCACCCCCCAGCCCAGTTGATTTCAGATCTTTGTCAGAGTCAGTGCAGAAGTGGTTCCAAGAGAATTCAGGATAAAAATTAGATGGGGCAGCCACACAGGACACACAGTCTATACCCATGTGGAGTGTTCTGCCTTACTCATTCCAGGCTTTCACAGCACTGTGCCTCAGTTTCCCTATCAGTAAAATGAAGATAATTATATACAAAAAATAAATGAAATAATAAATGCAATAACTGTAACAAACCAAAGAAGGAGAGAAGACCACACTGTCCACTCTCCCCAGTGGCCCTAATGCTTCTGGGGGTATACGACTGGGGTGCAAGTCACAGTCACCATCAGAGGCCGTCTGTGCACTTTGTGTTTTCATGCCCCACAACAGGGACCCCTGGGAGGGGCAGACAAGCTGAAAGGGGGTGGTGGCAGCAGGTGGGCAGGCACAGGTGGCTTCCATACCCACCCCCAGATCAGGGTCACTGCTAGGGTCACCGAGAAGAAACAGCACAAGAGGAAGTCTTTCCTGGCTCGCTGATCCCTTTCTAGGACTCTTCAGCCTGGCTTTACCATCTCAGCTGCTGCTCATGCCCAGATCCTGCCAAGCCTGGGCGAGGGCCGACAGCCCACACCAGACCGCATCCTGCAAGAACTGTGAGTGGGAACCCCGGCCCCCACCTCAGCCTGCCGTCCCTCAGCCCTGCAGCCCACGGGGGCCTCTGCTGCCTGGCGCGGGCACAGAAGGCCCGAGCCCAGCCTCTCGGCTAGTGAGTCTTTCCTGAGCTGCACAAGGCTTCCCAGGGCCCAGAGCTCAGAAGGTGGTGTCCAAAGGCACCAGGAGAGTGAGGGTCGCTCACTGTCCCCCCATTCCTGGAGAACCTCAGAGAAGCTGGCCAGTGAAGACGGAAAGGTGAGGAAGGGCAGTGGGGTCCGCATGGGGGAGGTCATATAATGCTCAACAGGCTGCTGTGTGACCAGCTGTGCCTGCAGTAGTGTGGCCCCAGCCGGGATACAAGAAAGCTCAAATGACATCCCCAGGCAGACGTAACCCCAGCAGCACGATGCTTTTCTCCACGACTGAAAACAACAAGCTACACAGTTTTAAGGGACATCAGAGCAGAGATGGTTTCACAGCCAGGGAGGGCAGGTGTGTGGGAGGAAGCCATCAGCAAGCCGAATAGGGAGGGAGGGACAACTGGGCGCGCTCCCCGCTGCAGCCACCAGGGGTCACTGCTCCCATGGATTCGGTCACAGGCAGCCCTGTCTGCAGGGCAGCCCCTGGGCCCAGTATTCAGAGAAAATACTGGGCTTCCTAGGCCAGGGGTGGGGGTGGTTCCAACCCAGCCGTGAGCTATCAAGAAGTGGTGCTGGGCACACCAGGGAGGGAGGAATTGGCCAAGTGCCTCTGGTGCCGTCAGTACCCCAGCTGCTGCTGTTTCCTTCAGAAGAGCAGCCCTGGGGAGCACTTTCCCTCTCTCTGGGGTCCCTTGCTCTATTTTTCCCTTCTTAGTGTTGGAATCCAAACCCCGGCAGGCAGCACTGCAGCGCGATCACCTCTATCCGGAAAACAAAGCACACTGTTTAGAAACCTTTGGGGGTTTGGTCTCTACCACTGACTCATGGCAGACTCAGGAAATACTGTCACAGACTATGTATTTTTTAAAAATTCTGTGAACCACATCACCACCCAGCTTGGCTAGTCCCTGAGTTTTCAATCACCCAAAAGTCTGTCTGACTGAAGTTTACGTTTTTGTTTTGTTGAGATAGGGTCTCGTAATGTGGCTCTAGGCTGGCCTTGAACTCACAGCAATCCCCCTGCCTCAGCCTCCTGAGTGTGTTCAAGTCTACTGCTCAATCCGCTGAGGAAAAGGCCCCCTGCTGTGCTGTTCTCGAAGGTCTGGGCACCACCTTCCTGAGCCTTGGTGAATGCTTCCCCACATGGGTGGCACGGTGCCGCACAGCACAAAAATCCCACTCTGTCCTAGCCCTGCAGCGCTCAGCCACCCATGCACGAAGCCGTGAGGCTGGCCTACCCCATCCCCTGCTGCCTGGCCTGCAGCTCTGCTGGGCCCCTTTGGTTTCCACCTGGCCTGGTGCCTCCCTTGGACATCCCCATCTGTCTTCCCTGCTGTCCTTTCCAGGAGCTCTGCCATCCAGTGACAGGGGTTCACTTCTGCGCTGTGTGCACCCACTAGGTCATTAGCCACCTGAGGACAGGAGCCCTGTCCTAGTGTCCGTGTCACTCTGGAGTGACCCTGGCAGCACATGCATTGTCTGGCACTGGGAAAGGACTCCATCAACGTTTGATGAATGAATTTATGTTCTCAGCAAAGGTGACATCATGCTAACACAATAGAACCTGCCCTGGCTCTGCACCAACGCTTGGGAAGAGGAAGGCTTTGGGGGAGGATGAGCCTGCAGCTGGCCCTCTTCCTGGCAGAAGCGACAAAGCATGACGAAGGTAAGAGGCAAGGTCACAGCCAGCCCACTTGGCATTTGCCCTGCACTCACAGAGAACAATGTTTAACCGCCTCTCCCCCACCCAACAGCTGACCAGCGGGAGGGACAGCAGCTCCAGGTCCCTTGGTTGCTTGAAAGGCAGGCTTGGCCTGGGGTCTCTGTCAGATCAGTGCTGAGTCACAGCCCTGGAAGCCAGAGACAAGGGATCAGCACCCAGCCCTGCTGCTGTCTGGCTGTGCTTGAAACCTGGGGGTCACTTCATCTCTCGGGGCTCTGCTTTCTTACTTCATCTTAGAGTAGACTTGGGGCGCCCATATGGCCGGGGCTGTGCAAATGTCTGAAAATCATAACGTGTTGTAAAAGCATGAAAGATCATAGTCCCCACACAGGCGCATGCTCCCTGTGTCGGGCATCCCTGCTTTCCCAGCCCCGGCCTCAGTCTCCTGAGCCCCAGGGTCTCTGCTGCACTCTGGGAGCTGCCCATTGTCCTCGCAGCGGTGACCTGCCTGCAGTACTCCAAGCTTAAGTTTCAGATGCCAGGGTCCCCAGCCAAGCTCACTTGTTCCTGCCCACGCCACGTCTGCCCCAGCAGGGAAGTTTAGGTTCCATCTGGAAGGTTATGTCCACAGCACACAGCTGGGCCATGCTGGGGTCTGCAGAGGAGGCCTCGGGATGGGGGGCCAGGGTGAGCTGCAGGAGTCTTGCTGGGGGATCCAGCATGGCTCGTGTGGTGGGGTCTGTGGCTTTTCAGGGTGCCAGGCCCAGCATGGGTCCTGTCTTTGGTCAAGCCAGCACCAAGCAGGAGGAGATAAGCTGCCAGTCTCTCTCTAAGACATCTGCCAGTCCTTGCGGTTCTCATTTCCTTCCCGTAAAGCACTGGGAAGACTTCCAGAGGCCATGGACTCCCCGGCTGCTGTCCCTGGCGGTGGTAGAGGGGGTAGTAGACTCGCCTGGCATCTCTAAGCCCAGGACCAGCCGGCCACCCTCCATGCCTCAGGGTAAGCAGGGGGAGCGTGGGCTGCTGATTCTGCTTTGGCTTTGGCTCATTTTCCTTCTAGGGCAGCAGGCTCATCTCCTGCATTTTTAATAGCACAGCATATTTAGCATTCACCACACACATGCAGGCCAGCCAGGGAGGACATGGCTCCTCCCTGCCTGAGCCCCTTGAGGTGCCCCCTGCACCTGAGGCAGAGGAGCCCATCAGCCTGCCACGCTGGACCAGGGTGGGAGCCCAGGGCAGCCGGGAAAGCTAGAACTGTCCTTTTTGAGACACCCATCTTGCTAGGTGGCTCAAGCTGGTTTTAAACACCTGGGTTCAAGTGATCCTCCTGCCTCAGCCTCCCCAGTAACTGGGACCACAGATACATAGCACTGAATTGAACTCTATATATCGTTCCTGACTTTACCCTGGGGACAGCCTCTTCTTACCCACCTCCCTCTGCTGTTACAGCCCCCTTGGGGGCTGGCTGAGTGTTCTCCCAAGGGCAGCTCCCAGCAGCAGGTGCTGGGCAGGGGAGGCTGGGAAACCTGTGGGTGCTGTCAGCAGTTTGCAGGGGATGAATCCTCTTTCTTTGCAGGCAGAGTTATTTTTAACCTACCTAGCTGCACAGGGAGAAAATAACAAAACTGCAGACTTCTGACCGAGGGACAGAGAATTCCTGACCTCAGGAGCTGCTTGTCCAGCGCTGTGTGTGTGTATGTGGGCTATGAGTAAGAGCCCCCCACAAGGCCTCAGGCCTTATGTGCAGGCCTCAAGTAGCTTCTGGGTGGCTGAGGGTCAAGCAGACTCTTTGGAGTCCTGGGGCAAGAGCTGGCTGGGGATTCTCCATACTAGGTATAGGAGAAAGAAGCAGGGGTCCCACAGCCCCGGGTAGGGGGGTGGAGGGGTGGGGCAAGGAGCCCAACCATCACAGCTCTGAGGCCAGGAGCCGGGGTTTCAGGGGTCACCTTGAAACATGACAAGGTCTGTACTGTCTGAGTGACTACCAGCCACTTAGGTATACTGAGCTCTTCTGGTAGGGGTACCATGGCTGAGTGAGGAATGAAACTCTAGGCTGTGTTTTGGTACTGGGGATTGGACTCACGACCCCTCACTTGCCTGGCAGGCACTTATACCACTGAGCTATATCCTGGGCCATAATTATTATTATTATTATTTTTTTAACCTCAGTAATCCTATCAAACATAATTAGTTTTTAAGACAGGGTTTCACTATGTAGAGTTCAAGCTGGCTTTGCACATACAGTGATCCTCCTACCTCAGCCTCCTAAAAGCGAGCCACCACAACTAGGCTTTATTTAATAGAATGGGGTTAAAAAAAAGAAAAGAAAAAAATTAATTTTAATTCATTCAAAATTAAAGACAGGTACCTGATTCAATTATTAGAAAATGTTTAAGAATTCTTGGGCCAATTTCAGTCTGTGAATCTATCTTACAATCTCCAGGTTTTACAAACTCTAATAATGAGTCAGGTATTTCCAAACTGAGATGTGGCATAATACACACAGGGTTTCAAAGACAGTATGGGAAAAAACAGAACGCAAGCTGTTAAGACGACGGCATTTTGGATAGATTAAAGAAAATGTATTGTTAAAATTAATTTCACTTGTTTGTTTCACTTTTTCAATATGGATGCTGGAAAATTTTAAATTTCAGGCATGGCATACATTGTATTTCCATTGTACAGTGGTAATCAATCACTCTTTTACCAAAGGTTCACTGGTCTGGGAATGGTGGCACATACCTGTAAGTCCTAGCACTCTGGGAGGCTGAGGCAGGAGGATGTCAAGGTAGAATCCAGTCAGGACAATTTAGTGACTTGGTAAAAACCCTGTCTCAAAATTAAAAACAAAAAAGTGGCCAGGGGTGAACTCAAAGCGAAGGCCCTGGGTTCAATCCTCCCAGTACTACCCCATCCGCCCAAAGATGTGCCAGCTCGGAACTTTCCAGTCCCCTTCACGGGCACATCACTGGCCGTGATTTAATGAGTCTGGGCCCACAAGGCGCGGGTGTGCCGAGCCGCTGGGAAGCTGCCATCCAGGGGTCGCCATAGGGGACGCCCAGAGGGAAAAGTTGGGATGTTATACCCCTGGCAGGCCCCGTGAGGGTCACAGTAAACTCCTGCACTGTGGGGATGCAAGGGGACAGGGCCCTGAGCACGCAGTGGCCAGTACGATGGGCAGGGGCTGTGAGGGTGCTGGCGGGTGAGGGGCACGCTGCAGAGGAGCCGGGCCTCGCCCCTGCTCTCCAAGCCCCGCCCCCTCCTGGGCGTGCGCATGCTCAGTCTTGCTCGCATGCTCGCTCTTGCTCCCGTCACTCTCTGCCTTCCCTCGCCTGTGACGCGCTTCGTGATCTTGGGAATAAAGTTTTTCATTGACGACAGAATGTAACAGGTGCCACCGCTCCCATCGCCTCTGCTGGCCTCCTCCTTACAATGGTGATCTCTGGGGGTGAGCGATGGTTTTGGTTTTAGGTTGGCGCAAAAGCAACGCGCGTGAGTGCAAAGTGACCTCGCTCTGGTTTGTTGTGGGCAGCGCGGGGCCGTGTGCCTGGTAGGCGGGTGCTCAGCCCGAATCCGACCTGTGAGCTCTGATCTCCCCTGGCTTAGCTGGATGCAGGTTGGTGCTCTTTCCCCGCGTGGTGTGTGCCAGGGAGCTCATGATCCCGTGGCCACCAAGGACCCCACCGGCTGGTGGGCATGATCCCGTGGCCACCAAGGACCCCACCGGCTGGTGGGCTGGCTTTTCCTGACTGCCGGCTGGGAGCGCGCATCTGAGGTGGGGGAAGCCAAACTACACTGCCACTCAGCGGGCTCAGTGCGTTAAACACATCTCAACTTACAATGTTTGCTACTCATCATCGCGAACCAGAAGTTACATGGTGAGTGCAGAGGCACCTGAACTTCGGCTTCAAGTGTAGCTGAACTGTGGGCCCTCTGAGGCCTCTGCCTGGGCCGCATGCTCTTTTCCTGCTACCAATACCGGGGCCCTCATCACATTACACAGCATGTCAACCTGTGTGTCTTCTTAACAGGCCTCCTAAGATACCATGTGTGTCTTATTCAACTCTGTATTCCCAAGATTGCGGCACAGTTGTTCAGGCTCTGCACTGCACTAGCAGACTGGCCGGAATGAAGAGCATTCCTCAGTTTGCACCTAGCACAGGGCTGCCTCTAAGCTTTTTCTAATCTGTATGAAGTTAGCTGTGCGACCTCAGCGGGTCCTGTGTGCATCACAGGGCTTGTTAGGGTGTAAGCACATATTGCAGTGGGCTTGCATTAAATGTGATGCTAAAGCTGGGCGTGGTGGCGCACATCTGTGGAAGGCTGGGGCAGGAGGATCTCACCTGGGTAACTGAGAGACACCTTGTCTCCAAATAAAATAAATAAATAATAAAAAAAAGGTCTGGGGATGCAGCTCCGTGCAAAAGTGTTGGGTTCAGTCTTCAAAAAATAACTGAATAAAGGAGAGACAGACATTGTGGGCCCAAATCCCAGGGCACATAGTGTGGGTGGAGCTGGCGGAATCCGAGGAGCAGGACTGGGTTAGGTTGTGCCAGTCGGGAGAGGGTCCCTTACGTGGGTCGGAGGGCCTCGCTCTACAGTGGGGGGGGGGGAGGGGGGGCAGGCGGCGTGGGACGGGACTGTGATTCAGGGTTACAAAACAGCAAGGCTGGAAACTGAGTCTTAAGCGACCTGTTTAAAGGTGCACAGGAAGTTACTGACTGGCGGAGTCTGGAATTAAGCAGCCCATTTGCTTCCTGCCTGCGTGCCTGCCTGCCCTCCCTCCCAGTTGCCCCTTAGCTCTCCTCTTCCCTGTTTCCAGGGTCTTTGTTTCCCTCAGGGCTGTTTCCTCCTCGCAGCCCTCCCAGCTCTCAGTCCAGCCCAGCAGGTCTCCCGGGTCCTTCACTCCTCTTCCTTGGACTGCAGGTGGGCGCTGTCCAAACCCCCAGGGGTCCCTGGAAGTTTGCCTCCTGAAGAACATATCCGAGTGCTGCTGTGGACACCTGAGACCCCTGGCTGGTTCTGCACACAGGGTTCATCTTTGGGCCATCTGTGGGGCCTTTGGCTGGCTTTCCTTAGATCATTTCTTTTTTTTTTTTTTTTTTTATCGGTAACGGGGATCAAACTCATGACCATCTGCTTGCAAGGCAGGTGCTTATGCCACTCAGCTAAATCCCCAGCCTCCTTAGTTCATTTCTTATACCTCATATCTGCACGGTCATTGTGTGTGTTTATTTTTGGCAGTGTTAGGAACCGAACTCGGGGCCCTATCAAGAAGCTACATCTCCAGCCTTTAGTACATTATTTTATTATTTTCCATTTTCCTCGTCACTCTGCGTCTGAAGAGCCACTTCCCTAACTTTTCAGGCAGATCAGGCTTCTCAGCCTTTACCCCAGGTCTGGGAGCTCTCACGCCCTCAAGTGCCCAATGAATGTGTGCTCCAATCCGGATACGGTGCCGCTGCTGTCCTCGACACGGTCCCATGGGGTAGAGCTACCGGTTGCCTCATTTTACGAGGGAGGAAACTGAGACACAGCAAGATGAAATGACTCACCCAGGGTCACCCAGCAGGGGGTGGCGAGTCTAGAGCTCGCCTCGCCTCACAGCAGGGTCCACACAGCCTCAGCTTACACACTCTCAGCTCTCCTGACTCTCATTGCCCTGTGCTGCCCAGAGGTCACTGACTGTCAGTCAGGCCAGGGCTTCTCTAGCCAGTGACGTCCCAGATGACAGACCCGTGAGCCAATGGCCCGTGGAGAACTAAGCGTGCGAGTTCCCAGGCCTTCCCCAGCCATGTCCTCCCTTCCATGCTGTCACAAGAGGCCCCTTGCATCAGTCTGGGTAATTAGCTCCTTCATGAGGCCATCGTAATTTCCAGTGTCTGGAGACAAACCCGCTGCTGGGTGATTCTCTACGCAGCTTTCCTAGGTACGGAGTCAAGGGTAATGATACTGTTTCCCTTTGAGCATATAAATGAGGTGGACCCTACACTTGTCCCCTCTCCACCTTGTCAAGGCCTGAAGGAGAAGGCTGGTGGCACTGTGACAAGCCAGTCTTGAGGGCTCCTGCCAGGGATCTCTGCCTTTGGGAACCCCACTGCCTGTGGGTGCAGTTGGGCCCCTGTCTGTCCATCCCACGGGGCACCTTTCTCGACTTTTTGGTAAAGAGTGAGATTCAGGACTGAGTTAAAAGCTTTTGATTTCTCATAGTCACCTGACAGGCTCTGTCCTTCCCTCTCCCAGGGGTGGCTTCCTCTGCAAGCAGCTCCCAAATACTTCTGCTCTTCAGGGACTGGGGACAGGGGATAAGGGACAGGACAGGGGACAAGGGACAGGACAGGGCTGAGGCCCTGTGGGAGCTGCCTGGTGCTGGGGGAACCGTGTGTGCTCCTGATCACTCACACCAATGCTTCTCTCCACTGAGAGGAGACGGGGTCCCGAAGAAAGAGCTCCCCGCTTCTCTTTTTTTTAGCCGCTACTTTGCTCCTCGCAAGAGCAGAAAAACGCCCTTGTCCAGCATCTGGCACTCTAAGGCTCCACGTTCCCTCTCCTGTTCAGGTTCCCACACCAGCACTCTGGGTCCCCTTCTCAGTCCCCTGATTCCTGGACCCGGCGCCCGGGAACTGAGGCAGCACATAAAACACCGTTTCGGGTGGTGGCAGACCGTGACAGACACTCACCATGGTTTATCCCGTGATCCCTTAGCAGGAAAGACTGTGTGCTGCTTGCTGTTGGAGGTAAGGAGATTGTCTTTGGGCGTTTTGAATGGCTTTGAGGTGCTGCTGGCAGAGCTATGGCCGCTGACACAGGCTTTGGTCTTCACCTGTGCTAGAGCCGTCCTGGGGTTGGAGGCTGGAGATGCTGGCGAGGGCGAAGGCCCACACATGGAACCGTGTCTTCTCTCTGCAGGGAAAAGAACACAATTCAGCAGGGCTCCGAGGCAAGCTGGTCTCCTGCCCTCTATCCCTCTCTCCCTCCTTCCACCGTTAGCAATGCAGATGTTGTGTATCTGGACCGCACACCAGGCTGACCCTGTGGCTCTGCAGAACCACTTTCCCGAGAGGGATACCGGGGGTATCAGTGTCACCCAAAACACTGGGACAGCGGCAGTTGCCCCGAGCAGTGGGCAGGGCTGGGCTCTCTGAGCGAATGGGAATCCTCCCAGACCTCTGCAAGGGCTGCAAGATCTTTGAGAGCCAGAAAGTGGCTTTGAGAGCCAGGCACGGGAACCTGCCGTGCTTGGACAGGGGACAGGCTGTTGACACACCCTAGTTACAGCCTCTCTCAGCAGATGGAGCTGAAGGCCACGCTTGCAGGAGGGTGCCTGCGTTCGAGGCACAGATAGGGGGCATGGACTCGGGGTGTGCATGGCTCCCTGCGGTTCTGTGGAATGTACAGAGCTCTGGGCAGAGGTATTCCACCTGTTCCCACTGTACCTGCCCCTGCTGTCTCCCCCTGGTAGGCAGCACGAGGACAGGGACAAGGATGGTGGCTGTAAAAAGTAAGGCGGAGTGCACACCACCACGGTGGCTCTTTTCTTCTTTATGTGTCACCAGAGTTGAATACAGGTCCTTGGCATCGAGCTACAGCACAGCATCCTCTCCTCAAACTTTTTTTTTTTGAGACAGGGTCTGGTGAGACACCAGGTTGCCCAGACTGGCCTTGAACTTTCAGTCCTCTTGCCTCTGCCTCCCAGAGGGCTGCAATTACCACATGCACCACCATGCTCGGTTTATGGTAGTTCTTAACTGTTTCAGGACAGCAGATTTGATAGTTAAAAATCCCAGAAAAATGCACATTTACACACGCACCAAAACTCTGCACCATTTAAAGGAAACTATCTCAAACTCAGGAAGGACAAAGACTTCTAACAGCCAACCTCCACTCCAGCGCTCTTGTGCCCCGTCTATAACCAGTGCTCACTTCACATGTGTGGAGGAAAGAAGCGAAGTTACAGCAGAGGTCCTGATGGGAGGGACCTGAGGTTACAAATCTGGAGTCTGGATGGAAGGCAGTAGAGCAGCGGGGATGGCGGGTGTCATACTCTGTCCATCCCAGAGCAGGTGCGGACTCCCACCCTGCAGGACCTGCCCTGGTGCTACTCTAGCCTCAAGAGTAAAGCCGGACATGCGGGGCAAGTCTGGGGTTTCAGGTGCTCCTGTACCTCGGCTACCAGGCTGTCTCTGTGCACACTGGTCCTACTTTTCTGATGAAATTGGAGTCAGTGGGCTGGAAAGGAGGGTATTTCAGCAACATCAGTGAGCATACGCTGTCCATGCAGAATATGGATGGGGTCATGTCTCTTCCTTGGCTCATGTCTCTTCCTTTGTCTCAGCCCATCAAAGGCTTTGAAAACCAAGATCTAGCTCTCTGGTCTCCTTTTGGACGCTGCAGGGAAAACTCTGGGCTGGGAGCCAGAAGAGCTGGGCTCCAGCCCTGGTCACCCTTGACAGCAGGCAGATGGCCTGGGATTTGCCCCTTCAGCTGTCTGGGTTTCCACATCTTTATCTGGAAAAGGAATGGGTCTTTTAGAGGCTTCTAAGACTGTTTTCCACTCCATTACCATAAACACAAGGCACGCTTATGCCTGCCCCTTCTCCTCTCATCCCTCGAAACTCCAGGACGTTACAGCAATAATTAGAGCTGACGAGCTGAAATACTGTTCCTAGGCAGATCTTCCTCAGAGGAGTCCAGCCTTTGTAAAATTACGCTGGCCTTTATCACCCCTGTGAGGCAGCCAGGCATCTCCAGCCTCCTCATAGCTGAGTGGTGGAAGGAGACCCAGATGGGTCAGGTGATCCAAGGTCACTGCTAAGGTCAAGGTCAGCGGCTTCTTGAAAAATGGGGGCCTTGGCATAGGCACAGTGGTCATTCAGGAAGGCAGGAAATGTAGTATGAGCAAGCTTTGAAGCCAGGAAATTAAGAAATGAAGACGTTAGACTCATCAAAGGTTAGAACTGGGTCTTAAAACTCAACTATTCCGTGTAGTGGCACACACCTGTGATCTCAGCACTCAGGAGGCTGAGGCAGGAAGATCACCTCAAGCTCAAGGACAGCCTGGGCTAGTGAGTTCAAAGCAGCCTGTGCTACAAAGTGAGACCTTGTCTCAAAAAACAAAAATAAAATAAATTTTTTTTTAAAAAAAGGGATCGAATTCATGACTGCACTTGCAAGGCAGGCATGTATGCCGCTGAGCTAAATCCCCAGCCCAATTAAATTTTTTTTAAAAAAGGAAAACGACTAGTGTGATGATCTGATTTCCTTTCTGATAGATCGGTTTACCAGTTACCAGTCAGAGGGTAAAGCTAGTTGGTGGCCAAGCTGGATTAGAATCAATCGCCTTCACCTTAAATCTGCAGTTCTTTCTGCACTGCAGAAATTTCTTGTTTAGCAATTTCTTTCTTCTTTTTTTTTGGCAGAGGTTTCCACTTCTAAAATAAGACTGATTTTTATCACTACTGTTTCAAAATGTTAGTCTTCATTGCCTCAAAGGGTAGAGGTGTGGGATAGAAAAACATCACTCAGGAGCCTGAACAAGGACAAACTTTAGTTTGCTAAGCCAAGAATAAAATGTCACAAGAAGGGTGCTGCTAATGACCAACCGAGTGCCCTGGACCAGTAATCCTAAAACCACCTTCTGGGGAATCCTGGTTTGTGGTCCATTCCCTGAGAAACTCACAGAGTAAAAGGAATGGAGAATCTTTCTTCCAGCTTCTATATTTTACCGCCATAAATCCTTGATAAATGACTTACTGAAACCCAAAGACAACCTTCCGCTCTTCATGTGAATTTTTGTTTCCTGTATGATTTTTGTAATGCAACAGAGAGGCAAAAGCGGTATTCCTGTGAACTGCTCCTTGTTCTGATTGAATTACTCTATGTGAAAGTCCCAAGAGGCCCTCATTTTGGTCCCCTGAGCTCTGAGAACAAGCCCGCCCCCTACTGGGGTAGGTTGGTTTGCTTTAGTACTGGAATTGAACTTTGAGCCTTTGTCTTGAGCTGTATTTCTATTCTGCCCCCCCCCCCCAAGTTCTTAGTTAGCACAGGGTCTTGCTAAGTTGCTCAGGTGGGCATGAACTTGCAATCCTCCTGCCTTAGCATCCCAGAGTGCTAGGGTTACAGATAAGTGCCACCACATCTGGCTCTATTAGTATTTATTTATTTTTTGTCTGTATGCAGTTCAGGCTGGCCTTGAGCTCACTTTGTAGCCCAGGTGGGCCTTGAACTCACAATGATCCTCCTGTCCCAACCTCCTGAGTGCTGGGATTACAGGTGTGCGCCACCACGCCTGGCTCTGGCTCTACTAGTATTTAAAGTGTTGGAACTGATAGGGTTGGAGCAGTCAGAGCTCCACTCAGGCAGGAGCTCAACTTTGCAAACAATTAGAACTGCAGGTCCAGGCAGGATGGAGCAAGTGGACTTTACAGGAAGAACTCGTTATGGTTTATATCTAGATGTTCCCCCAAACCTCATGCACTCATACGTGAGACTTTTTGGAGGTTTTTCTGGATTTAGGGTATGTGACACTAGGATCAAGCATCTGTGCTAACTACATGGACTTAGCACAGTTCTGGGTGTGGGTAAGGGAAGCTCAAGCTCCACCTTGGGTGAGGGAGGCACTGATCAATGGACTCATAGCCTGGATGGAATATAAAGGAGAGAAGGAAAGCAGGCTTGCTCTGCTGCTTGCTGCCTCCTGCTTGTTCTGCCACGAACGGTTTCTCCTCTGTGACGTCACTCTGCTATGCTGCCTGGACTGAAACCTCTACAAACGGGGAGCTAAAATAAACTTTCCTCCTTTAACTTGGGAGTGCTAGATATTTTGTCTCAGCAACAAGAAAAGTAACTAAGATAACCATTAGTGGATCTCCAGTCCGAAAGCCTCCAGTCTGAACACCCACCTGTAGTTCTGCCTTTTGGTAGACAGGTTGGCAGGCCAGGAATGGGAGGAGGTAGGGTCTTTATTTCTTGTAAAAAGGTATTGCTGTGCAGGTGGAATTTCTTTGGGTAAAGCTTTCCAGATTTATATGACAGTCATTCTGATACACCCACTTGGGGAATAATCATTCCTTCTATGTTTTGGTCAAGAACCAGATCTCTGAATTATTCTAATTCCATGTGCTTTGCTCAAAAGAGTTTATAGAACATTGTATTTCTTACTCACTGTTAAAATATTTTATGAACTTGAGCAATTTGAGAAAAATGCATTTCCCTCTAGACTTTCTCAATTTCAGTTAATATACATGGTCATGTTAACAAAAAGGTAATCAGCTAACATTTGGGGTATTTTTTATCAATTAGCTTTGTGTGTGTATAATTCCACAAGCTTGCTATTTTAAAAGGTAATGCTCAATCAGTAATTTAGATTATCTACACTTATTGGCTGGCATTTTTTTTAATTAAGAAAAAAAATTTTTTTTGGTACCAGGGATTAAACTCAGAAAGCCTGCACTTGCCAGGCAGGTGCTTGTGGCACTGTACTAAACCCCTAGCCCTCAGCTGGCATGTTTTAAAAAATTTTTTTTTAGTACTGGGGATCGAACTCATGACCTCGTGCTTGCCAGCCAAGTGCTTATGCCACTGAACTAAATCCCTAGCCTGGCTGGCATTTTTTTTTAAAAAAAGTAATTTATTTGTTTATAAAGTGATTTAGGATTTTTTTAAAAGATAAGATATAGTTCCCAAAGTGAAAATCTACAATAGCTTACAGTTTTTGCTATACATTTCTTTTCAGATCACAGGACAGAAGGACCACACCAAGGTGTTGCACTAGTGTTGAATGTAAGCAGCACTCGCCTACTGAACAAAAACAAACGCTCATCAGAACACCCTGCAGATTTCAGCATACAATAAACCATCAGTAACAACCTTGGCGAGCAGGCATGAATCAGCAGCCTCTGGTGCCTCCTGGTCCTTTGCTTGGAGTATTAACAGCCGGACAGCACTTTTCTATGTGGTAGGCACTCTACTGCACACTTGATTAACTTTCTAGCATTTCATTCTTCTAATTCCTTAGAAAATGTTCCACTGGACTTCTGCAGATGAGGAACAGGAAGCTCAGAGGTACAGCCAGCTGCCGAAGGTCACAGAGCTGAGCACCATCAGATCTGGGGGTGTTAGGGAAGCCCCCTTGTTAACTCCCGCTGTAAAACTTGGGAAGATACTGCCAACGGGGTGTTTGGGAGACGGGGGCTGGGGGATGAGATGTTCCACTCTGCTGCTGTGAGCATTTTGGAAGGCCTGACTCCTTGGAGACAGGAAAAGACATGCCTTTTGGGTGCTTTGGCAACTTTTAGGTGTGGGTCAGCAGCCCTCGGTCCCAGAGCTGGCCATCCCAGCGCTGGAAAATGAAAGCCCAAACCCCTTAACTCTTCTGCATTCCCACTGCAGGGAGTCCAGGCCAAGGCTTCAGCAGCTACCGGTTCAGGACCAGCTGTTTCGCTGTGGCCCTTCAACGTACAGGTGCCCCCCAGGAGGGCAGCTAGAGGCCATCGGGACGGGGTGGGCAGACACCGACACTCGGCACCCTACAAATCTGTCGGCAGTGGGAGCCCTGTTGTCTCCACAACCCTCTGCCCTTCCTCTCTGCAGATAAAAACCCCCAGGGTCTCCAGCAATTCCACCTCAGTAAAAATCCAGAACTCTCCCAGCCCCAGCATAGATCATTTCCACCTCAGTAAAAATCCAGAACTCTCCCAGCCCCAGCATAGATCATTTCCACCTCAGTGTGAGTGCCTTGCGGACAGCTGACTTGGCTGCAGACATCCAGTGAGGCTGGCCGGACCATCTGTTGGGAATTTTCCAGGTTCACTGTAAGGGGCTGATCCCTTTCTCGGTGACTCTGAGCACCACGGTCACCTGCGGCTTGTCACGGTTGCCAACCTGGGCGGAGGCCAGCACCTGGCTTACTCATTTGACAGTGCCACCTTTCTGTCTGTCCCTATCCCAAGGACAGGTCCCCAGACAGTCTTTAGCCAGCTGCATTTCCTCAGAGGGTTCTCCCTCTGTAGTGGCTACAGCCAGGACTCTGTCAATAAAGGACAACCCTGAATTCCAAGGGGCCTTCCTCCCAAAGTAAACTGGAACTGGAGGGAGAGAGGCAGGGAGGAACGCGGGGATCAGGAATCACGTGGGCTGTACCTCTGCTTTGCAGGCAGGCCTTCCCTTCATTAGCAGCTGTGGAAACAGGCCGTTGAGAAACTTGCTCCAAATCACCAGGCTGCTCTATTGGAGGAGTGGAGGCAGGAATCGGGGCCTGTGGTCTCATTTGCTACCATGGTGGCCAGGCACCACATAGAATGCCATGGGGTTGGGGGTTGGGCAGAGAGGACACAGGAAGTCAAGCCACTGAGGCAGAAAGTGGGGGCAGATAGAGCAGAGCCCAGCACTTCCAGAATTCTGCATGCTTAGGCGTTTCTAGGGTGCCTGTTCCCTCTTCTGTGCCTCCTTAGAACATGTCAGACCCCATGCAGCTGCAAGGTGTTCCTCACAGAATGAATGCCTGTCCACCGACTGACTTACACTTGGTCTTTAGTTTTTTTGCCTTTTCATCCCCTACTTACAGTCCAGCCACCTGAGCTCTGTGGAGCTGTAGGATCTGGGAGCAGCAGCCTACACTGTTCACGCCTGCCCAGCCCCCAAAACCCTAGGAGTTGTGGGTTGGTGCTTTGGTCATCTGGTCACCTCATGCCCATTCAGCTGGGAAGGACAGCGGGGTTTCTCAAAAGTCCACTCTGTGCCACTCACTGGCGCATGTGATCTACCCAACAACTGCACCGAGAGGTCTGGTACTGTTAAATCTCCTTGGTACAGATGGTGAAATCGAAGTTTAGCAAGATTATGAAACAAGACCAATGTTACACAGCCCTCTGTAGCTGTGAGGAAGGCCCAGGCGTGAGTGACTGCCAACCCCAAAGGCAGGGCCCCCTTCTGCCATGCTCCTGGCCTGGGATGCTCGCTGTGCGTCTGCGTCTGACAAAAAGCATTTTCCATGTTCAGAGCTGCCCTGGGATGGTTTGTCTGTGGCGTATCGTAACCCGGATCCTCTTTACTTCCCCCTAACCTTGTAAGGTCTTCCTCCCATCTGTTCCTCTTTGTCATTCATAGTAAGGTGCCTGTCTGCAGGCCCAGCCAAGGTTGGGTATGATCTGGGGAGTCCCAGGGATTTTCCAAGGCCTGAAATATTTCCATCATCCCCCAGGGATGCCTTCCCCAGACACCCAACCTATATAAAAGGAAAACCCTTAAGAAGCAGGCACACGTACACGCCACTGGGGTACTTTTCCAAGGATTACATCTTTCTGGGGAGCACCCTGATAATAACAGGAACTAAACAGCATTTATAGTTTTTGATCTGGTAATCTGGTAATGTTAGTTAAATAGACCTCAAGGAAATATCCCTAAAGGGAAAAAAAAGTTCAAAGATATTCTCAATAGCACTGTTTACAGTAATAAAAAATATTACAAATGACCTGAATGAGCTATAATAAGACAACTGAAAATGACAGATATGAAGGTTGTCACAATCTAAGGGAATGCGTAAGTGAAACTCAAATCCACAAAAAGATGGAAAAGATCACACAGAAGATGTAAGCACTAATCCCTCCTGTGCAAAAACATTTAACATGAATACCAGGATGAAGAAAAAAATGCAGGACAGACAGAGGATGAACTGCTTAATGGGCTCCATTTTTGTAAGTCCACACGGACAAAGGCAAAAACTCACCAACAGCAAAAGCACCAACGTCTCCTTCAACAGAAGAAGGAAAACATCAAACATAAGGAGAAAAGGCTGAGTGAAGGCGAGCCTCATCCGTCCATGTGCTCTCTTCCTTTTTCAGCATTTTCTTGGCACCACCATGTTCTGAGCTTGGAATACCAGCCCTGGTTAGCACAGTGGCCAGAAGACAGACTTTGCCGCTCTGGACCTTCATCAGAGGGTCGCAGGGTGGCTGTCTTGTCTATCAGAGGTTGGGGTACGGGCCTGCCCTTTAGAAGGCAGCTGCTGCTGAAGGACCAGGGGAGTGGACAGCTCCCCGGCCTTCAGTCTGCACTGGCAGCTGGGACCCCAGTCCTTTAGGTACCATTCGGTCCATTATGGTCCCAGTGTTCCATTGTGCAGTGCCCCCCCCCCAGCCACCAGGGTGGGGTTTGCTACTAATTCTCTCCACGGTGGTTACCCTCACAGGCACCACACACCCCCTGCAACAGTCACATGGCAGTTACTGTGCACACAGTGAAAACTGGTGACTCCCAGCTTGTGGATAAACGACTACAGTCCACTGAAAATGGCATAGTGGACACTGCCCTACCCCAGAGGCATGGGAGGGGAAGCTGTAGCTGGACACTGGGCAAAATGGGAGGCACAGGCCAGGGTGGCTCTGGGGAGAGGATCCATGATCTGGTATCCCCCATGTCTCACTAAACCATCTGGACAGCTGGGCTTGGTCCTCCCAGGCCCATCCTGAGGCACCTGCAGCAGCCTTCATCCAGGGGCCTCAGGCCCTGCCTCATGGAAGGGTCCTGGAGGTGGGCAGCAAAGGAGGGTCTTTAGCTGTAGATACCTACTAGGGACCCCATGAAGCGGGGAGTCTTTCACTCTTGCAATGGCTGGGCCAGGGACCCCGAATTCTTAAAGTCCTGTGGTGGTTTTTATGCTTTACTAGCTTCGGAAGTCATTGGAAATATGAATCAAGTACTACCATCCCAGGAATCAGAAGTATCTGGGCTCAGAACCCAGCTCTGTGACTTGGGCAAATAATGTGACCCCCACCCCACCCCCAGCCCCCAGCCCCGTGTCCTTACCTACAAAATGGGGACCACCATACCCAATGACAGACCACATTTGGGCAGTTCCCCTAGGTGCACGGAGTCACTGGCTAGCACACACTGAATGCCATCCTGTGGCTTAGGGCTTTGGCCTGGACACACCCGAGGACAAGCATCCTGTTCACTCTCTTATTCCTGGCATTAGACTCAAGGTCCTGCCCCAGTAATCCCTCACTATGTTCAAATAAACGCGTGTTGGGCAGGCAGATAACATGTGGAGGTGGTCACTTGCACCAGGCACCTAACACAAGTTGCCCAATACATGGGAAAAGAAATCACATGTAGTAGCTTTCCTAAGCAGCCAGTTGGCAGCATCCTCCCTGCCCTTGAGTTAAAATTTTTCCACTTACAAGAATCCTCCAGGAACACATTGTTTGAGGAGCACAGGCTGGGGGTGGGGGAGGCCACTGCTGCTTTATTTCTCTCTGAACCAACCTCCAATTTGGACAGCACAGGGCCCCAGGCTCCTACAGTCAAAGGTTCAAAGTCTCTGTTCCCTGCTCAGGTCGCGGTGTCACTCAGAGCCACTCACCCCACAGGCTGCCCTGGTTCCGCAGCAGCCACTAACGGAACCATTTCTGTCCTCCTTGGAGTGGCAGTTGGCAGTGGCAAACAGGAAGTTGTCTTGAAGTAGGGCGTGGCGGTGCCCTGTCAACATATGCGTACAGAGACAGATGCTTTTTGTTTTCCCCTTCTGCCCTCCCCTCTCTCCTCCTTTAGGAGCAAAACGTCTGAATTATATTAGTGAAGGCAAAATGTTTTACATGATTTAAGATCAACTATTGCTAACATATCAACAAAAACCAAAGACTGAAAGCAGCCTTTGGTAACATAGATCTGTTTTTCTACTGTCAGCTGCTCACTTGTAAGCATTTAGTGAGGAACTTCACGTGTGTGTATAAACCAGGCCACTTACAGCTCAAGTCATCCTAGGGAGCCAGCTGGGACCCCCATATAATTCGGGGCACCTGATGTGCACCCTGCACCAAGGACTATCATGAGTAGGAAAAAATGCAGAAAAAATGCAGCTTGCTAGCTTC